GTGCGGGAATCATAAAAGGATCATATAGAAATGGATCCAGTTATCTTCGGCTTTGATAAAAAAGAAACACGCATCAATTAATCTATCTTTTTCTTAATGTTAAAATTTAAAATATTTTAAGTCATAATAGCAAATAGCAGAAATATAACCTGAAATTTAGCTTCTGGAGTCGGCGCTCACCATCCATCGCGCGGTTCTACAAGTTATTTTCAAATTCAAATGTGCTTGAAGAATTGAAGGACCCTCCTTCTTTCGATTATTTCTCCTTTCGATGCCTATGTAGGTCTGCGAAAGTACCAAAAGTTCCATCTCCGGAGTCTATAGATTTAAATTTTACCTAAGTAGTTTAATGGGTTTCATGCTACCATTACTTCCACAGCCGTGCCCCCAGGTCGCCTTGGAAATACTAGAAAATGAACTATTTCTCCCTTATATGTCATTATATTCAAATTTCCAAAAAGTCATTTTTAGTTTATATAATGCTGATTCAAAATATATATACTTTTGTAGGGTTTTTTTCTACGATTAAAGCTGTAGGTTTGTCTAAATGAACACGCCCGCCTTCCGCGGGTCTCGAATCTGCTTATCTGCTCAGTGATTGGTCAATCCATCATCGTCATGTTTTGGGGTCCAAAATTTGTCGTTAAAGCTTAATAACTTTTTAATATTTAAGTAAACTTAAAAAGGGTGGGCATTATAAGTAGAGCTGAGCATACTCTACCCAAATATTATAGGGTTTTTGGGGTTTACTCTCCGACTTAATTAGTAGGAGAGCTTAATGGACCGCAAACCGTGCAGAAAAGCCCGGTCGCGTTGTTTTGTGTAAAACTAGTTAGGCAGCAGCCACCCGTCTTTTTTTTTTTTTTTTTTTTTTTTTTTTTTTTTTTTTTTTTGTCGTCATTTTTTAGGGGGAGTTTTTTTAGGATTGGGCCGGGGTGGCTACCGCCACCTAGAATGCGCAGGCTACACAGCTACTGCGCAACCTCCTTGACCACTGCGCATCCTCCCGCGCATAGCGGTAGCAGCACCAGAGCATTCAGTAAACTCACTCACTTTTATAACGTGATTTTAAAAAAACCTGGGTCCTTTTTCCAAAATCTGATTAGAGCGGGCTCATCTAGGGCCTATTACCTGTCGATTTACGCAAGAATCATGGAAATCGGCCCGGTAGAACGCTCAAACGAACTATGACAAAAAGTATAAATTTACATTGTTTAAATGGGAGAATTCGCAACTTTACCACGTAATATAAAAAAACCTGGGCCACATTTTGAAAATCTGAAAAGAGTTGGCTTATCTAGACACAATTGCCCGTCGATAGCCGCAAAAATCATGAAAATCGGCCCGGTAGAACGCTGGAACTAAGCGTCACCAGTTTCGCAAAATTAGGAGGTCTTGGAGCTTATAGTATAGAAGATGGAATTAATTATCTGAACTTATCTGAAGTTGATCAAAGAATGCAATCAAGATAGGTAAAGAATTGAAGAAAACTATTTCACTGCTAGTGGGTGGTTTCATAATAATTGGAATAGTTTTGTCGCTGTAACAGATAACACATTTTTCGGTCATATTTTTAGTAGTAATGTTAATCACTAGAATTTTTTTGCATTATTCTTCAAAGGGTTACGTATTATAACGCGTTCTAATGATTTATTGCTCCTTTTCTCAATTGATATCATGTAAATCCCGAAAATTTGCTGTTTGTTACGGTAACTTTTTACGGCGTATCAGACAGCACATTTTCGGAATCTACACAATATAAATTGAAAAGTGGAGCAATAAATCATTAGAGAGCGTTATAATACGTAACTCTTTGAAGAATAATGCGAAAAAATTCTAGTGATTATCATTACTACGAAAAATATGACTGAAAAATGTGTAGTCTGTAGACGATTTTAGTGGTGACGTTACGGAGCGATATTGGTGGTTCGATATCTCGAAAGTCGAAATGTGCCCCAATAAACAAACATAACCTCCAAAATGAACAATTGACGAAATAATGCTAAAACTAGCCTGAAACCAAACAATTAATCCATGGGACTTTAAAATTATGAAAGCTACTCATTTACCAAAACGTTTGAGATCACAATCACAAGAATTGATTGTAAAATAAACTCGTAATATCATAGACAGCCATCGAGTGAATACCCCTACCCCCCTGCCTATATCCCGCAGATTCCTCCATGTTCGTTTGTTGGGGCACGTTTCGATTTTCGAGGTATCGAAATTATAACGAGATGTGACGTCACACTAAATTCGTCTGTTACGGTGACGAAACTATTCTCCAGTTATCGTGAAACCACCCTAGTACACTTGCCAAGAGCTCAGCTCGTATGGCCTTAGTAGGTAAACCTATTACACAGAAAAATACTGATAGGACAGGCATCTACAATGAATATTTTTTGCCAGGTAAGAGAAGATTACTGAGAAAAATTGGTACTCCTAATTTAAATACATCTTTTGGTTGGCTAAAACTCACGGAGTGCCATTTCAGACAAATAAATATAGTACTGTTTAATTGTTCATTTTAGGAACATTTGTTAAAATTACAGTATACACAAGAAAAGAGAGAACAAAGTACAAAAAATTTAAAGAGCATTCACTTTCAAGGAGATGTTTTTTTATTTTCGGGAATCAAATGTTTCACTGTTTACTTAGCTTATCATACTTACTCGGTAACTACTTTGTAGAATACATTTTGTTTCGATAAATCTAGGCGCAGAAACGTTTTTATGAATCAATGCAAGCTAAGTAACAAAATTAACGAACATCCATCCAACTTTCGAATTATTTATCTGTAAGCATTATTGACATTAATTCATAAATGTGCTTGAGTAAGCTACAAAAGCATCTTTCGGCTTTTTTCCACGATGTCCAGGACGTTCATCAGGGACTCTGTTCCAGAAATCAGGAATCTAATCCTAATCAGGATCCTAATGAATCGTAGAAAAGCTAAGATTTTTACAGATCGCCGTCTTTAATAGGAGGCATCATTAAACTAATACATATTTAATTGAAGATGCCTCATAATATCGACAAGTCGAGTCCGAACACATAAATCCATCACATATCACAAAGACATTTATAATAAAATTCAGTGGTTTGAATAAAAATTTTATAACTATAATCCTGCGATCAAAATTCCAATCAAACTTTATGATTTTGTGAAATTGGCACTATTTTTCTAAATATTTCAGTAAAAGTGTTTATAGCGCCGGCAAAAGCGAGAATGTGTTGTGCGATCCTTGCACCATGATAGAGGGACGAAGCCCCCCCACATGCCGGCGCTTGCGGCGCGCATAAATTGGCGGGAGGCCAATCTCTTTTTAACCTTACATAACTTAACCTAACCAAACCTACCTCACATTAACCTAACTTCATCGTCCCAAAGTTTCCTACGTCATCATAAAGTTGCTATCATCATCTTAAAGTCACTAACGCCATCATAAGGTCGCTATCGTCATCTCAAAGTTGCTATCATCTAACCAAACATACTTAACCGTCTAATATAACAAGTTTGTTACATTACACTTGAATCATCATCGAGTACCTACTGTGTTTTCCATCCTAAAAACAATTACTAAATTACATTTCAACAGTACAAACAAACCAAAGCTTCAAGTAGCAGTCCAAGTACTGAACTCGTCAGAAGTACCATTGATGGTCTTTCCATGCAGTCCGACTAAACCCGAAACTTCAAATCATCAAAATAACAGAGAAACTTTCATAGATCAGATAATAGAAACATCACTAACACCCTTGGAAATTGAATGTGTGCCTATGAAACAGCTAAAAGATAAAACAATCTATATCCACATGGTTTTCTCAGGAAAATCCTGGTGAAGTGAAAGAAATCTTCGCTCTCTCATCAGGGAATAAGCTCATGAACATCAGGGAATTAGTATGGTCAAAAATTCTAGACATAATGCACCTTACAAACAGGTTTTAAAGATGAGGGAAAATCCTTCGACCCTCTAAACTACTTTAATCAATTGAACATTTTTGGCCTAGCACAAAAAAAACTATTTTAAGGATCAGAATCAGTGGCGCAACAAGCAGTTGGCTCACTTTTAGTCAAAGGTTTCAGTTAAGTAGCAAGTCAGGTATCTCGCACAAGCAGATGACTGCTCAAGGATCTAAAAATTAAAAAGAACAATGATCTAAGAGGCTAAGAATACTCACTCTCTGAGGTGGGCAAATTTTGTTAAAAAATAGCTGCATTAAAAAAATTCACAACCTGAAACACCATTAATTGACTGCGCGTTTACTATGTTCTCTTTTACAGGCATTCACACACATAATGATTAAAGCAATAAATCTTGAGCTGTTGGAATTTTTGTCATTAAACTGATGAAAATCTATCAATTTTGCCAAACTATTGCATTGTTGCTTCTCGTGTCCAAGGTAGCTTAATATTTTAAGTATGAACAAATTGGGTGAGTGAAACACAAAGGGAGAAAGGACCTGCCCACTGTTTGTCCAAGCCTAGCCTGTAGGCAGGTCATCTTTCTTGAATTCTGATCAGAGGGAGAAATAATTGATACCTGCTGTCATTTTCTCCTGCTTGATTATCAGGCAAAAATAGTGTTTTTTAAATCCCCAGTAAAGAAGGAAAGAAATTAAACAACTGTTTCTCTGGGAATAAGAACTTACTTATCTAAGTTGATTAAATCATGTCTCTTGCTGTACCTCATCCACTAGAGGCTGCACGCTACAAATAAGTATGGGAAAATATGTTAGAGAAAACCTGGCATGTGAGAAGAGTGCAAGGAGCCTGAAATCGTAAAAATAATTGAGTTCTATATCTTAGAGTCAATTTTCTCATTTTTTGCTGTGGACACGGGCAACATGCAAATACTGCTAAATAGCAGTGCAAATATTTGCACTGAACATGTGTTTAGTTCATAATGCACGCACATTATTATTCTGCATTTTTCACTGTGGACAAGTTCACCATAAAGAAGTTCTTTGGCTTCAATTATTATCTTTCTCTGTTGCAGGACCGGTGTGTTTATCAGCGACAGCTGCTCTGGCATAGCTGCGTGTTCAGTTTGTAAGTTAACACTTCCAAATCAATTGTTATTCAATCTATTCACATGATGTCACATGATAATTCAAGTGATAATTGAGGACCTTGCACCAAGAAGGGCATGCACATGTATAGGCCCCTATTCCGTTGGTTTTCTGGATTCTTCGTACCCTTGCAGTTCTGTGGTATCGGTAAAATATTGATAGGTAACGGCTAGAGGTCAAAAACGCTTTTTTCCGAGTTTGATGAGTCAGGCCTCTGGATTAGTGGGTGGAAGAACAGTCTACATGAATGCCTGGGATGCTCCGTTTGGAGGCGACCATCTGAAAACCTTGCTCCCGGGGCTTTTTCCAATTCCTTTTATTTCCCCAAAATATAATTCTAAAGTTTCAGCATCATGGCTGAAGTCTATACTTTCCCATAAGTGATGTTAATTTTGGAAGAATTTACATTGGTTTTGATAGGGAGAAAATAGATTGATCCGCAGAACTGTGTTTTTCGGCTTTTAAAATGCACCCTAGTGATTTCCAAACTGACCATATCTTGGAACGACATCCAGAAGCCTATTTTGCACCAGAAAATTTCATTGTAGACCCAGGGATGAAGGAAGGGTGGGTCTTGGCATGTTTAGTTTTGAAGCCCTGCGCGCAGCAAAATTATCGCATTTGACAGTTTTTCATCAACCTCATAACAGCTCTTTCAAGGTTATAAGAAACTAATTCATCTAACTTGTAAAAAAATGGTTGTTTTTATCCCTCAACCCTTAGATGACTAACCGAGTCTACGAGGCCCAGCAGCGATTTATTTTTCTCGCCACAGAGGCTGTAGTTGACCAAGAAGTCTGTACTTCACAAATAGCTCTACAAAAACCCTTAAGAACATATTTCTTGAAAAGAAAAATTTTTGAAATTTTTTTTTAGGCACAGCAATTTTTTTTGTCTACCCCTAGAATGACCTAGCAGGGCCTATGAAGTCCCCATTAAGAATAAATGGTTTTTAAATAGCTGCAATGGTATTTTCTCTGTTTTTTGCAGAATTTAATAAATATCATACTTCGTCTTCCATAACCAAGGTCCTACATTCTCTCTCCATCCATAAACTGCCCTCTCTACCTCTAAATCACCCCCTCCTCTCCCTGAGTCCTCGGATCAAGGCGCCTCTCATTATAAACACAGTTTTATATCTTTTTTGAAAATATGAGGATGCTATATTGAAGAAGCATTATTACCCCACTCCCACCCCCTCCCATTTTGCCTTAAGTTAGTGGAGGGAAACTAGTTTGTAGCACAATAAAATACAATTCGAGATTCATAGCGAGGACTCTTTTAATTAAACGCTTGTAGGCTTTCACATTGTTACATAGAATGATAGAACATACTAGAGGGGTGTTCACACCGACACACTTTTTGCGCAAGCGCCGTACTGAAATACGTCACTATTCATCACTTAACAGTTAAGGCGGTTATTGTAATTTTTAGTTTATAATTCAACCAAGATGATAATTAGGCACAATGAGGGCTTTTAAAATGATTTTTATATTGAACATAAATATTTCTCCGAAAACTGAAAATGTATAGCAATATCCATTTGCATTCTTAAATGGAATGGTCAGGTCGCCCAAATAAGAAGAAAAAAAGTTTCCTGCATAGCTTAGTTGGGGTAGTACATCATGAACAGAAGTTTAAATGCGGTTTCCTTACAATGTCTCTTCCAGTTGTAGCCTCTTATTCGTCTGATGTCCTCAACTCTCAGGTGAATGCTACAAACCAGAGGACTGTGTCCCATAGCCTCTGCTTGACCCAATATTCCGGAAGGGACTCCACAGCCCTCTAATGCTCACTTTGTAGGCCTCGCGAGTGGAATGGCTCATTCAAGAACATAATAGTAGTTTCATTATAGCAGGGTGGGTCATTCCATGCCAACTGGTGCCACTTTCAAAAAGTGACCCCTTCAGAATATGATGAAATTTGGCATACTTAAAGTACATGCATAGCCTAGTAAGAAACCAAAACTTTAAGTTGATTCGACAGTCGGTTGGTTTTTTATCAGACACTGAAAGTTCTCGAAAGTTGGCCTCTCTCGAGGGATGCCGCTACTCAGAGTCAGGGCATGCATCCTTACAAAATTTGTGCGTAGTTCTATGTCAAAGAATATAACTTTAAGCTGGCTTTCTGGTAAATGCTCAGCATGTGGAGCTATCATTTACCAGTAAAAAATCAGGTTTAAAGTGAATCGAAGTCTTGCGGAGGATGTGATTACAAAGAAAATGAGTGGATGAGAAATAGAGTCTGAATCACTCATGTTATAGTTCGCATTGAGACAAACTATCAAAGAGTGGAACATACTAGCGATTGACAATATACCTGTTCATAATTAAAGAACACCGAACAGTCCTAGAATAGAAAATCGTGGAAGGCTATCTAGAGTTAACATGAGGATATTTCTTTAAAGAGAGGCATTAAGGGAAGGAGATTCAATTACTAAATCTATTTACATCGCTGTAATTGAGAAGTTAAAAGTTTCCTCAAAGATATTTACGTCCTGAAATGAAGCAAAAAGCTCGCATCATGAAGCTTCGACATGGTAAGTAACAGTGTCAGGATTTCACCGTGTGATCTGAAGTAATTAAAAGTTTGTAAGCCTTCCCCTAATGTCGTACTCATACGATAATGTATGAGTAAAAGGGTAATTTACAAATGAAATTAGCTTTCTAAGCAAAAAATACCACAGTTATAAAGGGACATGAAAGATTCTTCAAGTGGCAGCTGAACATTTCACCTTTCACAAGATTGTTTCCAAAGGAAAATAGAGACTTACAAGTTCAACCGAAAACTATTGCCAAAGAATATGCACTTTACATTCTTAAGAAGAATGATTCCCAAATTCTCTTCTCTATCATGGAAACAGAGTATCTGAGTGTACTGAATTAACGGAGAAAACCAGCACAAATTTAAGTGATGTTTCCGGATTTCCCAACGTTCCAAGGAGATCGCAGGTCGATATATTTGTAAAGCAGGATTAGATATTTTAGTTGAACAAGTAATATTTCAGAAAATATGCCAAAAACGAGTGAACTCTGTCAAAAGGTGAAATTGATAACAGCCAGTTGGTTGTTTTGATCAGCCTCGATGTTCGAAACGCGTAGAGGTCCCGCTGACGGCGCCCGGTCGAATGTGTGGCAAGAAGCCAGGGGGTAATTTTGACGCCATATGGGATTGCCGCTAAAGCGCGGGCAAACGCGGTGTTTTCAAATTTCGAACCTCAAAAGTCGTTTTCGGAGGGAAAAACGGCTCGGAAAAATCTGAAAAAATTAATGCGTGATCAGGAGACAATGCAGTTTCTGAAAATGCAAGAATTAGAAACAGGTTTACAGGCTCATTCTCCGATAAATGAGTCGGAGCGCTCCTGGGTATAAACAGCAAACGATTGGAGTCAGGTGAAACCTAAGATTTCAAATGCATTATACAGGGTGTCACAGGATTAAATACGAATATTGAAGGAGTCGATTCTTTGGGTCAAAAAAAGGCGTTTTTGTGATATGCATTTTTTTCCTAAAACGCTTTCCCTGGGCGCCACGACTCCCCAAAATTGAGGGAAAAAATCGTCTTTTTAACACTTCGGCAATGTTTATCAACCAATATTAATTTAAATTGGTAACTGGGAGTAATTTTTAGCGTTCTTTTCAATTTTCACCTCCAAAAAAGGTCAAACTCATTTTAAGGGGGGTTTAGGGGGGGGGGTGCCGAACCTAAAAGTGGCCAAAATTTATGTTTTTAGCAACAAAAAATGATTTTTGACGGCACCTCAAGATTCAGTGTTGAAAAATATTAAGAAAATGTCCTCTGCGTTTTTCCGCCATAACTCATTGTTTTCGAGTTAATGGCTCCTAATAGAGAATAATAGTATCTGATAATAGGGGAATAATGGGGCCCCCACGGAAAGTTTTTCGAAAAAAGTTATACCACGAAAACGTCCTCTTTTGACCCAAAGAATCGACTCCTTCATTATTCTAACTAAATCCATGGACACCCTGTATAATGTATCATATACTATCCCCAAAATTACTCCGTAGGTGTACACCTAGCAAACTTATACGACTAATTGCGTACTTACATACTATGAATCATCGAAGCTAACACTAGAACTGATACTTAGATCTTTAATAGAAACTAATATGTTTTTTGTTAAAGAACTTAGAATCCCTGCAGATTCCGTCTTTTACGGTTCCTTTTTACGAGCTACTGAACACAAGTATAATATTACTGCATGAACATGATTGATTTAATGATGAATGACCACAGGAAAGCGCATTTGTTTATCACGGTCCAGACAAAGAATAATGGTACAGACTTGTTGTTGTTGTTGTTTCACACACAGGGATACGAGCTAAGGAGGTGGCGCTCTCGGTGGGCAGGTGGTGAACCATTTCCAGTGGGGAGATTTGACCGCCAACTTTGAAACTTGGGATACTTGGCAATACCAGTTTAATTTTTTTGAATAGTGATTCCACACCCATTGCTCCCGGACTAGTAAATCTCTTCGCGATATGTGATGAATTCATACATCCGGGTCATTCCATGCCAGCTGGTGCCACTTTTAAAAATGACCCCTTCAGGATTTGATGAAATTTGGCACACTTATTAACCATGCATAGCTTAGTAAGAATCCAAAATTTTAAGTTGATACGACCACCTGTTGGGCTTTGATGAGACACTAAAAGTTCGCAAAAGTTCGCCTCTTTTGAGGGATGTCACCACTTCAGTGATTTGTAAAAGTTTAAAAAAAAAAAAGAAATTTAAGGTGATTAAAGGACCCCGCACACCTCTTATGGGAAGCTGCACCACGACCGATTGCCTTCTGACTTATGTACTTCGATTCTCCTCAAGATGCTGATCAAAAGTTATATTTGCGCCAACTTTCTACGATGCACCGTTTTCGCAAAAAAGCTAAGTGAAGATTCAATTATTCGGCGACTATGAATAAAAAAGAACAAAGCATTTAAGAACAGGCCCGATGTAAATAAG